TAAAGAATATCTCTTTGGATTTGAGACTTTAGTCTTTGCAACTTTACAGATCTTCTTTATGCACCAAGTGCTTGTAACACTCCAAAGAGAAAGGAAAATTTGAAATTGCATCATATGACCCCTATAAGGTTACCTAGCTTGCTTGGTAGCTTGTTTAATAGCTTGTAGTAAGTCACCCACTACAACTAACACGGCGATAAGCCTGTGTGTGAACTGATATTAGCAGGGATGTAACGATTAACCACAAGCCGGTTGAAAATCGATTCAAATTTGTGACGATTCAAATCGGTGGAGATGCCAAACAAATGTTTCGTTCAGATATGTTTTATGTAGTATAGTTTCACAAAACTAAAGTCAGACCATTCTGTTATTGCTTCAAATTTAGAAATTATACAGTCTAATTTCGATTAAAAAATATTCATGCTGCATCTTTGTTTGGATCATGATTAAAATCCAGTGGTTGCCTCTAATTTTAAATGGAAAGAGCTCTGACAAAGCCTTAGTTTGTTCATATTAAGAAATTTATTTTATTTGTGTAACTTGTTTGATTTGGGGTTTGTGTTAAAATTTCGATTTAGTTTTGTTATTTCAGTATCACAAAGAAACGTGCAGCAATAGCCTAATAAAACGACACCTTTTCATTTACTGTATAATGTCTTTAATCTCATTTTGTTAAAACAAATCATGAGAAATTCGAATCGTGAAATCAAAATCGTGAATCAAATCGTGAGTTGAGTGAATCATTACATCCCTAGATATTATGCTAATATTGTAGATCTACCATTGTGTTGGGTTTTGCTCAATATGATGTTAAGTGGCAGATGTGGGCTTACTGCGGTTGAATCAGGGCTGTGTATCACCAGCAAAGTCATTATACGATACGTATCACGATACAGAGGCCACGATACGGTACGTATCACAATACGGGACTGCACTAAATTTCACCTCAGAAGAATTTAGTAAAACAGCTGTTTATTAAACACGGCATACTATAGTAATATGCAGTAATGGCATATGTTTCATGTTTACATTGGGCACTCCTCACCAGGTACAATATTCAGATTTTTTGCATCTTGTTTTTAAGCCCATAAATAATAATGTACTCGTTCTAATAACTTTATATTGTAATGTACTCATTCTAATATATTTGTAAAAATCATATTTACATTGCTGGTAGGTTATCATTGCACAAATTAACACACTCTCTATGTTTAAAAAATAAAAATTAGAAGAGTTCTAAACTAATGCGCTGTCTTCTGTATCTAACGCACACACACGCTCAGTCACTCACACAGATCACGTTGCGGCTGCCTATTCATTATTTTTTAGAAACCTCGCACTTTTCTGCTCAATTTTAAACGTTGTTCTTGTATTCAAATTAAGTGCGGTCCACTGCTGCACAATATCGATACAGGGCCAGCTGTATCGATACTCGTATCGTCAAATCTCTGTGATGATACATCGTCGTATCGATGTATCGAACACAGCACTAGGTTGAATATCTAAATAAGAGACATCCTCAATCCCAGACGAAACCTAAAATACTATGTGGAGGATGCAAAATAATGATATTACCGCGTGGTGAACCTATGAACCTAACTCATATTTAAACATGGTCTCCATGCTATGTACATATGTTGTGTACACTTATCTATCCTTACAATTACAATTTTGGCTGTATTATTTTTGTGCCCTTGAAAAATTGCTCTTGAGAAATTCTGCTTATTATTTATATACATATATATATATAAAAACAATGCTAGGCTTCTCTTCATCATTCCACCCATTTACCTGCATTGCTCGTCCATCCCCTCTGAATCTTTGCTGATGTCATCACTCATATAATACTTAAAACAACTCTACAAGAAAGCAAACAGATCCATATAAAACTCTGCAGAAGGATTAGCTACTTGTCAATCAAACATGCAAAAAAAAACAAAAAAACATGCAGGCATGAATAAACTCTCCTTTATGGTTTCATCTACTTTACATTTACATACACAAACACACATTAATGCACAGACTCACATATACATACCTTGCAGATGAGGACTTTGAGCATAGGGTGCCTGTAGACTGAGTCACGCTGGAAATGATTCACCTGCTGACCACACGCTGTGCAGTTTACCCTCTCCATCTCATATCCTCCTACCACACACAAACACAAATGAGTACCCCATACCTTGACACACACAGCTAAAAGTGTTATTTCACACACTTCAGCTGCAACATGAAGGTTGCACACAGCTGTTAATGGAGATGCACAGAGAACTTTCTGAATTCTCTATTGTGAGAAAAAATATTCTGTATAAGATTGGGTGACAAGGTTTCAAGGTTAGCTGATAAGCCCTTTCTGGGTACTGAATTCTTTGTTTCATTCTTGCTACAAACTTTTACAATTGGGTGCTTGGGGGAACATCTCAGACGGGATGTGAGGTGGCCATGAGTTTTTTTTATAATTAACAAAAGCATCACCATCAGTTAGAAATTTGAATAAAGGGGTCATATGATGCGATTTCAATTTTTCCTTTCTCTTTGGAGTGTTACAAGCTCTTGGTGCATAAAGAAGATCTGTAAAGTGGCAAAGACTAAAGTCTCAAATCCAAAGAGATATTCTTTAAAATAATGTTCTTTTTAGCAGCATCATATGACCCCTTTAAATAAAAGGACATCAAAGATAGGGGTGGGCAATTAGACCAAAATCTTATTTCATAATGCAAGCAGTTTTATTTCATGATAACGTCTTCACTATATGAATTAAATATACATCGATCCTTATTAAAGAAAGCCACTAAAGTTATTCAGTCAAGAGCACTGAGTGATTGTCTTTTTGTCTTTTGTTGTTAGAGATTAACAGACACAGAGAGCAGCAGGTATTTTACAACTGTTTATGTTCACCTAAGACACAACAGACTGTTTATGTGAATTCTTGCCAAGACAGGCATTTAGACGTTATTCCGTGTGTATCTGACCATAATAATAAACCACAAATGAGAACTGAATTCAGGATCACATGCTGTCTGAGAGGGGCTTTCTGTGCATGCTTCAGCATCACTATCAATACACGCATTATATCATCACAATTAGTGCTGGGCGGTATGACCAAAAATGTATTTTTGTTGTTGTTTTGGCTATATTACTTTTTTGTCTCATGCAGCGCACTGCCTGCATCTGAGTAACAAACTAAAAAAAACAAACAAAAAAGTGCATGTGATATTAACAGACGAACTACGCTCATATTTATAATTCCAATTTCCAAACAATCAGTAAGCGACAGGTGCTAGGAAACGTTGTTAGGAAACGGTGCGGCCAACTGAATGCGCTGCTTCTCTGCCGCTCACTGCACAGAACAGACGCCGAGAGAGGTGACACTTCTCCGGGAATGTCAGACCTCGCATTCACGGGACAGCACTGGCAAAATCTTCCAACTGAACCATAGCGAAGGTTTATCCAAAAAAGTCACTAGGTTTGTCAGTATGAATATTCTATGGAAAAAAGCTGCTAAAAGGGTCTGAAAGTTGCTAAATCTAGTGCTAAAGTCGCGCTCGTGTGTGTGTGAAACGCGGTAGCTGATGGAAGGGGGCGGTGGATATTTGTGGCAGTCAATGTGGATGAGTTCTTCTGTGTCATCACGTTCTATTAGTTTTACAGCTTCAGTTTCGGGAACTTTCATGCTTAGTAACATACAGCTGTTCCCTCACCACAGTGCAACAGTAATAAACACCGGTATTCGGTATGAACCGGTATACCGCCCTGCACTAATCACAATATTATCATATCAACCAGCTCTAATCAAAGATAAACTTTATGCTTATCTCTTACCTCTGCGTCTGTCACCACCGTCCCTGTGCTGCTTGTAAACGCGTCTGCTGCGGAATTCTGGACCACGGAAATCATCACGAGCTTCATTACCCACCGGCTCCGGCAGCACAAATACAGTTCCTATGTAAGATTATAATGAGGTTCAAAAACAATTTGAAATCCCTTAATGTATTCGATAACAGAAACCAGAGCATAAAAACTTCATCACATGGGCATGATCATCTGAATCAGTCAAATGAATAAAAGAATGGTAGCGGCACCTTTGGGTAGGAAGTTGGTGTCTGGGTCGCTGGAGTGGTCAGACATTCCATCTTCTGCTCCACTCTCAGACGAAGTGTCTGACTCGTTCATCCCGCTGTGTTTGGTGACAACAGCCGGTTTCCTGTAAAAGTAATGATTTACAAATGAGTTCATTCTGTCAGCGCACAAAGGGTGTCCAGATCCATCTCATCATTATTTGAGTCAAACCTTCTCGAACGAGATGACGACAACATTCCCACTTCTGAGGGGCCACTGGACTGAAATGAAAAGACAAAGCATTTTAAACAAACAGATCCCTCGAAATCTGATCAAGAGCAAAAAAAAAAAAACATTTAATTAATTTCAGCCATATAAAATGATAATTACAATTAAATTTCTTATTAATCTATGCAACAGAGTGCAGCAGGAATGAGTCCTACAACCTATTTTTTAACTTCCAGTTCCATCGCCCTGAACTCTGAGGGGTTTTTGGTTAAATGCTTAAAATAATGTCTGTGGTTAACATAAGCATATCTCAAGATATTGTCATGTTCTAATCAACAACATAAAATAGATCAGTAATTCGCCACTTGTCATTTTTATAGACTTTACATAACTTGAAAAAGGCGGTGGCTAAATGGGACTACATAAGTTGTCGGGTACATTAAACGGCATCACGTCTAACAGAAATGCCATCTACTCACTAGCACACTTTTACAGCCTTAATGTGTTTATACTCACATTCTTGCAAACAATTATCAGCTTTCCAAACTTTCCAACTTTTACATTTTAAATAAATACTAAAGGAGAGATCAGAAGCTTAGTAGCGGTAACGTTTAAAGCCCTATTCGCACGGGATTAGTGTTATCTGGGGACCTTGTGTGATTTTGAAATGACCTCCCCACATCTGAATTTCGTGTGGTGCATTCGCATGGGATAAGCGAAGCCTGTGATTTTACTCGAATTTAC